AACTTAAACATAATATAAGTCATAAAAAATATAATGCTATATCATATCAAATATAAAAACAGAAACTCTCTACTTTTCGGCGTTGACATTCAACTAAATATACAATGTTAGTCCCCCTTGATTTGTTTAATTGATAACAAAGGTAAATTTTAATTTTTCAAATTTATCTGCTAGAAGGCTCTGGAATCGAAGTAAGAGCAACCACCATAAAAGACAAAATGTTATTTCATAAGCACTAAAGGAAGGAAATATTCATATTGATACACTCTTGTTAGAATTTACATGGTATATGGCATTAAACAAATGGATCACTTCACTTTAATAAAAGTGATGCAGATTATTTCTTTCATCAATTTTCATCAATTCAACAATATTTATGCTATTTCTTCTATTCAAGTGAAGTATTATTGAACCTAATGGGGAAAATATTGGTAGATCTAGATATGTGTTCGGATATTAACAGTAAACTGGAACCAGATATTCGTAATTCATTCTAATATTTTCAGTATACTCTTTTATCAATTTAGCAGAAAATATAGCTTCAAACAAATAATGTGAATAGCAATTTCCTTATTCAATAATTTCCGTTTTCTGTTTATTTATATCAAATTCTGTGGTCTCCTAATGCGCATCTAAATGTGTATCCATTACTTGTGTAGGTGTGTGTAGGTTTCAAATTGTTTGAAATTGTTAACATTTATTTTGTTTTGGCTGCGTTTCTTTTCATGTCGCCTTTTATTGTATAAAAATTTTGTCATAAAACATTTGGTAGCTGCATGATGTTTTGATTATGTTTTGACAAGTACATTCGTATTTTCTCAATTCTAAAATCAGCGTTATGCTCTAAGACTGCACATATATCTGTATTCCTTTAAAAGAACTCCACTAATGCCAAAAAGTCAGACTTATAAAATTTGAACTACCTCATGAACTGGGGCACATAAAACAGAAAGAAATATAAAAATAACAAAGGAATATATACAGAGCTAAATTGAAAATCGTTTATTTGAAAAATCCTTTGCATTATTTGAGCTAAAAGCGTTAAACGCCTTTTTACAGTTTTCACAATTAGAATTATCATTCCGGGAAGAATTTTACACACAAGTTACTGCAACTGACCTACATATGACTTCATATAGTACGTAAATCTCAAAACAAAATATTTCGGCATTTAGAGTCCCTTCTGCTTCTACATGCATTGTAAATGGAGTTGAAATCCATTTTAAGAATTCTGAAGAGCTATAAAAATTGCAACAAGGACAATTAGCGATAAAGAAGCAGACTCAATTTTCGTTGCATCGACCGAAAATTTGTCATACTCAGGAACGTTTTATTATGTTAGTTCAGATAATCATTAAAACATGTTTTATAAGACACTAATACACTGGTTTGTCAAAATTTTCTTTCCCAGTATATATACTGATATAACGCTGAAATTGTCCGACCAATGTCACACGCTTACGAGTTGCGGATATGATGTATAAGTAAATCTAAATGACTAGGGCTGCAATAGGATTTTTGATACCCTCATAAACAAAATATTTTATTTACATGTCCAAGTTGTTTTTAAGTAATTGGAGCAAGTTGAAGTATTTACTCCGATTCTTTATATCTAACATAGTTTATTTGTTAAAATAAATTATTCATAATGTCTTCATTTACACAATAAATTGCATAGATATACATACAACATTTCCTGTTTATTATTTATTGATGTACCCCAGCAAAAACGTTTGTATATCAAAGGAAATTTTAAGAATTTGCCTTTGACTACTTATTTTTACTATTTATAAAAATACATGTTAATAAAACGGATTGAGTGGGAAGCTTAAAAACCCTTTTGAAAATATATTTTCGTAACAAACTTAGCTATTTAGGGCTATCATAAAAGTGAATACCATATTTGTTCTTTACGACAAGTCATGTGAATTCAAACTCTTTGAAAAATGAATTATCACCTGCAGACGATTGTCTAAAAAAATCGTCGAACGATCAAAAATATGAATTGCTAATATTCATATTTCTTTTTCTTCTGATGTTGGATTTTATCTCATATTTAATTGATTTACTATCAATGTACACGGAGTTTGCCGTCAATTTTTGAAACCGGACTTAAATTCTACAAACGTGAGCTCATATAATTCCAAGCTGATAAAAACTGAATTTCTTTACCCATTTGTACATAATTCTGATCCTAACATATCATATCAGTCTATACGGCTCACGCTGAGGAATTCGAAATACAAATACAGTACAGACATCAAAAGCAGCAACATAAAGAACCCCGCTGTGTGATGTGGCGAAAGGCTTCCGTTTAAGTATGATGAAATCACCCTTACAGTGATACATTCTAGATATTTCAGTCCTTTAACTACGGTGATAGCGATAAAACATACTAACTAGTATATTTAATATAAATGAGAGACAAGAACATATAAATTTATATTGAAATACCTAATTAGAAACTATCAAATATACAGTATGTCAAATGCCAAAAACGTACACGGAAGTACAATCTATAACACTGACTGATAAAAACAGAATCCCCGCGAATATTGGATCACTTAATATGTTTATTTTCCTATATGAGTTTATTCATTTATCTTAAGTTTCATACAAATAAGAATTCCACGTAAGACTCTTTTTTATGCGATGTAGATGTAAAAGTGTAAGCGATATTTAAGCTTCTCTTATCTTAAGACAATAACATTTAAAGCATCAGGTTATAACTTAAATACTCAGAGACTATGATACTACAAACAGACTATGATACTACAAACAAAAACAACTTTTAATGGAAGGCAGAAGTTGATACTCGCATTATGTCCAGACATTTTCCATTTTAATCCTCTAATTATATAAAAAACTTTCCATACCTATGTGACTCCAATACATAGTACTAACAAGTATAAAATTCACATATGTAAATGATTAAACTCCTAAAATTCACCAATTCATAGAATACTTGTAAATACAGTAAGAAGATTATCAAAAACATTTTAAAAGATAGTCCAACAGTGGACCAACATTCCGAAATAGATTGTAAGAGACTTTGGACAAATAGAATTACTTGTTTCCCAAGCTTTTTATGTACATGCTTACTTATATGTTAAGCATACAGTAAGTACTTACATGACTAAAGACCGGGCAATAGCAGTAATTATATCAATGAGCAAAAGGTAAATGGAATCATATACAAATATCAATCGATATATTCGAAATTTCATTCAAAGAACTAAGAAAGGTATTCAGTTTGTTAAGACGAAGCTGATAGGTGTCTTCTCAATCCTGAGAAAAAAGATTATTAAGATTTATTGTTCAGAATATTTATGATAAATGTTTTTAAAAAATAAATCAAAAACCTACACTGCCACCAAAATTTAAATATTTTTTAACAATGTGGTTTGATGTATGATTTTTAATTAAAAAGGAAACATACACCAAGGTTTTATATGATTTGGATTTCTTTTTTTTGGAGGAAGAACGAACAAAATATTTCACATCATTACTAAAAACATGAAACCAAATGTTAAAGATTGAAATTAAATTTGTTATAATTTGTTAAATGATCAAGTAAATCACAAAGAAAATAAGAAGTAATATATCACATGTGAATTCAAATCCCTAATAAATATATCGTTAACACAAATGGGTGTTTCATTTCAATCTTTCTTTTCATTTTTTTGCGTTTTATATATGTATGGATAAACTATGTCACACGGACAAAATATCGTTTTTGAAAAATAGCAAAGATTCGGAGCAGTTATGATAATCTATTGATCATTTGGTTATGTACCAATAAATTCAACTATTTCATCTTTTTAAAGTTACAGGCCACCAGATAAGTAAACATATTTCAAGAAAATAAAATTACAGAAAACTGTATTAAGATTTTTAAAAAAGTAAAATGATTCAAATTTCAAGTGATAATTTACATATTATGTGCATTTAAAGATTGATTTTGCAGTATTTATAACCATATTTCTACTGCGTGACTTACGTAGTAAGGACTGTTTTGCGTTTTGGTAATTTTGGTAATTTAAGTGGATTGTAAGTGCCGATTTCAATGTGTAAATCAATATCTTTGTTCCCTTAACAATATATTACTTTTTAATACATTGTCAAAATTTTCATGATAACTTACATAAATATCTTTGATATGTGCTGCTTAAAGATATTTTATAATGTTAACGCGAAACTTATAATTATTTTGTATTTTATGAAATATTTAGATCTACATTAAAAGAAGTATAAGAAGTATAAACTACATTTGAAAATGGACTCTATGTTGAATGTAATGTACAGTTAGAACTAGTTTTCTTTTTTTGTTCATTTATCAGTGTCGTTTGATGTGAAGAACATTTGTCTGTTAATATATTTAAAAACATATTGATCAATTTACCTAATGTTTGGAATAATCTAACTGTAATGAATCGTTTGTTTAAATGGTTTTCATTTAAAATAATTAGCAAAAATTCTTTGCTTAATGAATTTGGAAAAATGAAGAATTTCATTACAAAACGTTATCATAAAAGTATTTCACGGTTGTTCAAATGATATTTTGTGTGTTTTGTATCTTTATTCTGTATGTTGCCTCCTTATCATGTTCATATTATTACATTTTAGTTTAAAAGAGATTTAATCTTTTAAAGTTGTTTTTAGACATTGAACGCATATATCATTTCATACACCATGAAAACATATAAATATAAATTATTATATTTTGAAATTATAATACAGCACCCTACTAAGAACAATTATTAGTTATTACTTCTGTAAGCGTTAGTATTATATGTCAATATATCAGGCATTATTATTTCATCTACATGAAACGTAGGTTTGTACTAGTCTGAATTTAATGATCTTCGCTTACGCAAATCATAATTTAAATTTGTTGCTGATTTTAGATAGTTTTGCGCCGATTGGAATAAATGTAAATGAATGTAAATGGTTAATTTTAATTAATGAAAAAGCGCAGGACTTTTGTCAACAATTCTTACCTGGCCATTGAGCTTTCCATTGTGCTGCGTGAGATTTTGTTGTTTTCATCCATGGAAACTGTAAATTAGAGTTCGGACTTTTTTGAGGACTATGTAACCCACCGTCGTCTACATCCGGGGACATCTGAGCTGTGTTCTGTGGTTGGTGTGCCGGCGGAGGAGTCGAAAGCTGCATCTGCGGAACTGCCATCGGATGATGAGCACTTTGAACACTTTGCATATGTGCCGGAGTCGTGTTGGCCATTTGTGACTGTGCTACCCCTGGATTCATGTGTTGTAGAGCCTGTTGTTGTATTCCATGATTGTGTGATATTTGCTGAGCGTTTTGACTAATTCCATGAAGTCCTTGTTCCACCACGGACATGGGTTGCCCACCATACCCGCCATTCCCGGTGTTTCTGGCATACACGCAAGCCGGCTGCGATGAATGATAAGCACCACTGACGGCACTATAACTGTTGTCATGTGCATATTGCATAGGTTGATTATAATATGCACTCGCGCCTTCCATTTGTAACATTTATACTTTAGTAAGAAATAACCCTTAGAATTAAAACACTTATATTAAAAATCTTTCCGATTTAATAGCAAGTAAATCATAAGAGTAATAAATCTTACGTTGAGACATTCACTTTGCTAGGATGTTAATCATTTTCAAACATGAAAGAATGTTAATTTGTACACTCTTTTCAACACTATCTTAATTTTGTCCTGTCTTCTTAATATTGATTTTAAACAAAATGATTCTTTAACGCTACACTATCAATACAAAATTTATCCAATCATACTTTCTCCTTGAAAAAGATATTACATTCCTCCAGTCTTAAGCTTGCCGGTGATTGCTTAAAACACCAAAACCTCTTTGCTTGTTCCGTCCCAAAACAGTAACCCTTGACCCTAATGTTTATAAATCTGACTCATTTTGAAATTTAAATCTTAAAATATCAGCAGATACCTACAGGCACATTAAGCGCATATCACTTCTGTAACGGTAGACCATTTGTTTAAACTGTCCTCATTTGGTTAGAGGGACTACCGCTGTATTTATCGCCGCTGGACTTGTTTGGTTTCTGATAATTTGACAGTTATCAGATAAGCTTTAAATAGGCATGCGGGTGACTGTCCACTTTCCCTTCGGTCAGCGTGTGTCTTTGACTAATGTGCAGGAAAATTAATTACACGCCGAACATATCCTTACGTCTTAAGTTGTAGCGTAAGGATATATAATGTTTGTTCACCTTGTTTTTATTAATTAATGGCAAATGTAAACACACTGTTATCAGACGACTCGTTCGTTACTAGTTTAAAATGATATTGTATAGATTTAGTTAAAGTATGTTGAAATAGAAGCATTTCTGAAATAAATGAAAATTCATAAGAAAGAAATACATATAACACATTTATGATTCTAAATAAAAGTTAATGCAAATGCTGATAAAATGAAGATGTCTCTTATTAAACACATGTACATAAACTCGTTTTATATGAAAATACCCATATACATGTATATTGGCGAATTAAACTGTTGCAGTTATTGAAGAGAACAAGTTGTGGAAAATCATTTTACTTTTTAGAATTCTTTTTTTTATTAATTATAAAAATAATGTTTTAACAATCAAACATCAAAATGAGGTTTCTAAGAGTTACATTTTGAAATAGCCAAAGTAATGGTAAAGATGAACCGCAACAATTTATCAAATATATCGGTTGTACAATCTACATATATTTATTCAGCAAAACAATTAAGCAAAAGCGTTCATTAAAACATTTAAATAAAAAGGTATATTGATTTAAACCCCTATAAAAGAAATATTCCACTAGAAGCCACGTGCAGTAGCTTCAGTCGGAATAACCACATAATATCAAATTCGGATTTAGAACTAAGTAAAATAATACAAAACAAATATTGTATATTTGAGATTGCGTTTTCCTGACATTTGTCCCTCTACGTAATATCTGTTTATTTTATTTGCATACACGCGTTAAATATCAGACACGAGATAAATGTGGCAGAAGAAAAATGCAATATCTTACGAGCTTCCTTTTTGTGTTTACTTTACAAATTCAAAATTAAAACTTTTTGGATTGCGAATCCGAAGCATACCAAATGTTTAGGGCAGACAAGCAGAGACTATCAGCTTAGATGTCAGTGTATATCGTGGGTAAACATCAGCATAATAGCCCGGTAAATCTGAGTGTCAAAATATCGTCCCTTATCTTTTATTCCTTTACAAACTTTTAAAACCTGCGCGCAACACTGGTATTGATTTAAAAGGGGTAGTGTTTGTACCGTGGCCAAATGCCCGCATCGCTAAGGTCCTTTTCTGTTTACAGATAAGCTTCGATACACGGCTGGCGGTTACAAAATTGGTATGTTCTTTGAAGACAAGTAAATCTAGGTGAGATTGAGAAAGAACCAAAGTGCGACCTTAATTGAAAACGGTGTCCGTTAAATATAAACATGACACTAAGCGCAAAACCTGGTCTAAATAAATGACATTACCAGAAAAAAGGTGATTTTAAAACGATATAAGTATCAATTTTAGATTTAACAGTCAATTGTTATTCAAATGATCGTTGTTGATTTATTAATGAAATCGGTAATTAAAATCTCGACTGGATCATTTGTTATACATTTGTGTTACTGCTACATAAATGCAGCATCAGTTGGATTAAGATACATTTATAAAAAAATAAAATAAAATAAAAACGACTTCTGTGATCTTATGGTTAGGGATTAGGATATTGAGATAACAAAGTATGAGGAAAATGTTGTTTTTCAAAAATTACACAACCAGAAGATTGTAATCTCCCACTCAAAGACATTATATATATCCTACTTCAAAATTTCCTTTGCAATACAAATGGCGAAAACTATCTTAATCTCGTGTAATCTCGTGTAATCTCGAAATCTTACATTCGCCTTTGTACATTAGTAAGTGTTTATCTGTAAGGATTCAAACAATTCTATGTTTGTACCGAATAAGGGGCATAACATTCATTAAATCAAAAGATGAAAATTTTATCGTCTGACCTTAAGGTCATGTTTCTTTAAACACGTGACGTCATTTATTAGGGAACGTTTGATTTAGTCAGCTATTAATTACGTGTCTATGAAAGCGCATCAATCCGCTTAAAAATTAAATACCGAAGTGAATCGCGAGTTGCAGCGGTAAACGAAATGTCCTACTGGGTATAAACAATTGGATAGCACGCTAACGAATATCTTGTTAAGTCATTATTAAACTACATGCGATCCAAAAAATTATTTTGGCAAAACTTTGAAATCCCATCTGAAATCCGTCAAAACTTGCTCTTTAAATATTAAGTGTATAAGCTATTGTTTAGATAATGTTGTTCAAAACTGCTAAACGTAAAAGAAATTTTAAGTTATCAAATCAAGCGAAAAAATAATGTTTCATCGTTTAGCGTAAAGAGAAACGAAATTCAACTTTAAACCTTTATACATTGGTTATTAAAAACATCGTTAAAAGAAGCTCATATGATACAAGATTACATATACTCCATTATTTTATTGTATAATATGTGAAATAATATGGCTATAAACGTTATACCATTTAATGCCTAATAAAACATCCGGCAATATTGATGGTAGTTGAAACAGTAGAAGCTAAAAAATGATACTTAAAATTAGTGTAATTTTCAAACAAATTCATGAATAATTTTCATTCAAAAATCTGATAAAACAGACCATGTGTGAAAAAAGCCATTGTCTTTTATTTTTTGGCAGAAGTTAAGACCCGATAGTTACACTCGGCTAATTTAGAAAATGAAAAAATAGAAGGTGATAAAATACTGACTGATTCCCACATATTACTCTTACTCGTAACAATGAGTAGGCAAATAAAGTTACAACAAAAATAATTAAATATTTCACATGGAGTAGGTAAGTCTAATAACAACCGAAATAATTAAATGTTTTACCCACTTCAAAAAAGCAAACAAGGCTAGCGTAGTGCAGTTTAAATACCATGTTAACTATTAAATAACCCAGGTACATATCGTGTATAAAGAAATATTTTGATCCATGTGGATAAAATCCCTGAAAGAGACGCAACTAGTAAGCGCCATTTTAAATCTTCCTAGCTAAATAGATTGACTCTGACATACCGCTCTAATCTACGCTGATTTGGTAAAGAAGACCCGCCATAAAGAACTAATTTATTACGGACAAATCCAAGTTTGAAGTTTGTATATCATTTAGTGGTATTTTCTTCGGATAATGTGTTAAAATATCAAAATAATCGGACTAGCAAACGTGTTTAATACTTCATTTAAGTGTCTGTGTGTTTGTTTGTTGGCCAATAAACGGTACTTACACTGTTTTCATATTGATTTTATATTTTAACATCTGGCCAGAGAGATTATTGGTTTATATCAATTATGAAGAAATAAAACACTCATTCCATACAAAAATATTTTGATTTTAATTATTTTATTTCACAATAAATTATAAGACCTATAAGCTATGAAAGTTACAATGCAAAAAAGAAAGCAATAAAATTAAGCCTAATCTATATGTTTTTCTTTTATTCACAAATGAAATACGTATATACAATTTGACATCCATTTGAGATCTATGTTATACAACTGCAACACAGACATACAAAACAACAACAACAACAACATTAACAGCAACAAAACATCAAAATGCTCTTAAGACTTGAAAATATCTAAAAAAAAAATAAGTATTTCACATTTATCTTCTTGTATTGATACATGATAGTATTGATACATATGATAGTATTGATACATGATCTCAAATTCTATTTTAAAATGTTTTAATACGTCAAATTTAATTGACCAATTTCTACCATAAAAAGTAGGCTAAATAATATATGAATTTACTAAACGGTATAATGGCTAAAATTGGTCATAACTTATAAAACACTTTAAATTATTTCATTGCTTTAATGTGATTTCTTTATTTATCATATGCCATTTACCCTATGCTCGTAAAACAGAAATAGATTTTTAAATAAAACAAAATTTATTTCAAAGTTTTGATCCTTTTTGAAATCTAGTTTTTGGTATTGTCACTTGGCAAAGCGATGCCAACATACAAAAATAACTAATTTAACGATGGGGGTCTTGAATAGAGTAAATGTGTAAATTATTCAAATATCAAAATATAAAACTGCGTTATTTGATCTTTATAAGTCAATTAAATGCTGTATTTTTGAATGTCCGTTTTGAGATCCATTTGGAGATCCGCTTGAATCCAGTTTACAAATATTGTGTTGTTTATAATGTATGAATTATATTTTGAAATTCTTTTACCAACTTATCCAGACCACATCTTGTGACAATGCTATCGGTATTAAAGGAAGTAAAATGAGAAATAAGATTTTTTCTGGAAACAGGCCGTTTCTGTGGTATTGCAATTGGTTGCATTGGTAGTTTTCGCTCCGGATCACGGCATTAACCAGAGCACAGTTAAGCCACCTCATTTTGTTTCATCCCTTTCCCCATATGTAGGATTTGGTTCCCTGGACTGTCAAATCAAAATTATTAAGAATACCACATTATCCAATGCTAAAAATGTATGTAACATAATTATGCTTTCGTTTATTTAAATATTTTTTATATTCATAATAATGATATTTCTCTTACTAAATGCACCTACCTGCATAATTATTTAAAGGGATTCTCATTTTATGATAATCACATCGAACATAGGAATTAATTTAGATTCTTGAAGATCTTTATCAATGTGACGTCTTTTTATATATATTTGTACCGCTATTTTCTTTCTTGTTAAACATAACACCTTATAAGGCTATATCGAAGAAAGATGGCTTCAGTGTTTTTTAGTTACTGTCGTTACTAATTTCTGATATGTACTTGTTTTGTTATGAGCCATTAACAACGACAACAGCATTAAAAATAAATAAGAAAGAACTTGTTACTTTAATTGAACACAAAATCATTTCGTTTCAGGCCAAGATACTTGATTTCTGAGTGTCAACTATATTGTTAATACATTTAATTGCGGAACTAATATAAAATTATACATTTTAAATATTAA